CTTAAGTACTCTGGATGGTTTCCATTTTCCTGGTTGGCCCTCTGGAGGGCTGCCCCACACAAAACCCTGGTTCTGCTTCTTTTCTCTTACAAAAATACCTCAGAGAGAGAACTTAAAAGACCATCAGGGGCTGGCCCGGTGGCGCACTGCTGTAGTGCGCCGCTTGGGAGCGCGGTGGCGCTCCCTCCGAGGGTTCGGATCCCACATACAGACCGGTTCCTGCTCACTGGCTGAGCGAGGTGTGGGAGCAACACCGAGGGTTGCGATCCCGTTGCCGGTCCCGGTCTTGTACGGGCGTGACACTGAGTGTTGCGATCCATTGCCGGACACGAAAAAAGACAAAAAAAAGGAAAAAAAAAAAAAAAACATAAAATGAATTTTTATCCAAAAAGGAATATGCATTATCTTTAGTAATGTCATTTTAAAAATGATGATTTATTCAGTTCTGCAATCTGTAGACTCAAGATTTCATATTGTTCTTGCTGTGCATACCACTAATTGATTACTGTACTATGATTGGAATGAATATTCATGGACTGGTTTATTAACAGTTACCATTTTTGTTAGTGCTCTGACCATGGTTTTGGTCATAATTCCCTTATGCTGCATCAGAGTGAAAAATGATGTCTCATGAAGAGTCTGTATACAGTCCCACCTGCTCTAACTTCATGCTTAAGGCACACATCACAGATAGTAGGCCTTGATCTGGAATCTGCTACAGAATTTCCAGAAAACAAAGAGGAGCTGTGCCAGCTATCTATTCTGATACTGTGTATCTATGACACAGAGACAAATTATAATGGTGGTCACTAAGATAGAAGCACATTTTTGCCTATCTTCTGTAATTCCATAGCGGGCATGGAGGCTGATAACCAATATATTTTTCTCTTCATTTAAATGCTTTGGGAGACACTATAGCATAGGATTTGGGGGTCAAACAGATCTCCAAACTGAATCTCAGCAATGTGGCTCATTAGCTGAATTCAGTGGTTTCTTGTGGAGTTGTTATGAGAAATAAATCATCTATGACAAGTCCCTACACATTGCCTATATAAGCTCCCACGAAGCAGTGGGGGCCTTTAC